TGAGTCATGACTAACTGGAGAGATTATAGAACCCACCTGATAAGTGTAGAGCTGAAGAAAGATAATTGGCATATGCTGATTCATTTTGGTATAATTCTTTGATGCTCTGTATACAGTTTCGGGAACATACTCGAGCACAAGGTTGAGACTTGAGATACAACTCATCTTGTCAGTTGTTGAAAAGAAAGAATGCCTCAGTCGCACGACGTTGGGACGATTTTGCAAACGCATGATCTGAAGTTCTCTGTTCTTGTATCTTTTATCTTGCAATCACAGAAACAGAACGGAAAGCACCAAATTACAAAATTACAACACCTAAAAATGCAAAATCCACATGAAAACAATGTGCACGAGACTTCATGTTTTGAAATGGTAACAAGGAGACTGGTAGAAAAAACAGAACAAACAGACTCACCTTAGCTTGGTCCAAATTCTCAAGAAACATACTCTGTTTCATCTTTGTCCCATATGATCATTGACAATTTGAAGATTTAATCATCATCAGTATTAGTAAAAGAAACTTCTTTCCCATCGTTAGATCTCCCCTTATTATATGTAAACTTTCACTTCAAACTCTTGACCTTATCAATGAGCTGTTTTTTTGAAAACTTTGCTTCTACATAATCTTTGATATAATGGTAAAAGGCATTCCAGTAAGATCTATAGCTCAATTTCGTTTCATTTTCATAGTCCACAATACTCCTTTACAAACAAACAAAAAAAGTAAAAAGGTAAAAGAGAATAAAGGAGAATATAAATAAACTTAGAGAACCTGCAGAGAATTTACTAACTATCCCGAGAATGACAAGCTCATCGTTTTTAGACCAGAATGCTTTCTGCAATTCCAAAAGTCCATTTCTAGGTTCAGGAGTACCTTCACTCGAAGAAACACGTAAACTACTAAGTCATGCTCGCCAATATCAGGACCAACCATCATATAAAACAGCATGTGTAAACAACGATATATAAGACACACCTTTGAGATGACAATTACTAAAGTCGAGGCAAGCTCTGGCCCAAGTTGTGCAATCTAATTCCAGCAGGGTCGGTGTTGTCAATGAATCTTATCTATCAACAGTCATAAAGCAGGCCTTGCAAGATATTATGTCGTCGGAGAAAGTACATATAGAATTAAGTGTGTTCTCGATCAAGCTCTTCTGATCGAATTCTTCTTCTTCTTCTGCATCTTTAATCTTCGATTCGAGAAAGAAGTTGAAAGCTTCTAGTTTTCTAGCGCACCTAGGGATTCCGAGGAGAGAGATAAGGTGACGTGGAACAAAGAAGTGCTGAGCTGTATTAATTGTTATAATTTTATTGGACAAAGATTTTTACTGATGTGTCAAGCTGAGAACATCTGAAAAATCTGATGTGTCAGCGCGCTGGAGAGAAACAAGATGTTATTATTGTATTGATACATTAGAAACAAAAACAAGTTAACTTAAAAAAAAAGTCATATACGCAAGTTGAACCAAGTGACTTGCTAGGATGTTTTTCCCAAAAAACAAGAGGAATATTCCTTCCTTTGAAAGTAACATTATTATTAAAAAAAATCGGGATATTAAAAACAAAAATATATATTGTAAGTCGATGATTGGATCAATGTTTTAGCACCTTACAAAAAAACCTTTTAGTAAGTTAAGCATAATGCATACTATGTTTTATGACAGAAATTAATTTAATATTAATGTAAACTTAGAAATAGTTAATTTTGATAATACTTTCATAATGTAAAAAAACCAAATTAAAGTAGGATCATGAAATTTGCTAAAAGTGGAAACATATATATACGACGCTTCCTACTTTAGCCACGTAGATCCGTATTTGTCGGATCGGGTCACAAGATCCGAATAAAACGGGTCTCTCTCTCTCTCTCCCACTCTCCCTCTCACGCGACCTGTTTACTTCTATCTCAATTACGCTCTCTCTCTCCCTCTCTCTATTAAACTCTCAACTCTCAAAATTTGCGTACAAGCAAATGCAGTTTTGTTTCGAGTTTGGATTACACAAGGCAAGTATCTTCTCCTTTCCGATTCATTTTCTCCTTCTGGGTCATTTCGATTCTCACAAATTACAGACAAAGTTCGTCTCTTTTTGGGTCTACTCGATGCCCGATTAGGAAAATAAAAGCTCAGATTTTGTTCGATTCCCTTCTTCATTTCTGCAATTCCTCACTTGTTTTTGAATCAAAAATCGAAACTTCATTTCTGTTGAATCTGAATTATTCGTTTTTTTTAACCCTATTTGATTTGTCTAGATGCTGACACAATTAGGTGAAAAAGTTATGATTTTTATTGCTTCCTAGATGTCGAAGCAAAGATAAAGATTTGAAATTCAAAGTTTTTGACTATACTTATTGGCTTTAATCGAGTCTCTAAAACGATAACAAAGTCTTTACTATAAAATTCATGCTTTGGATTACGTTTTCTCTGCTTGCTTTCTTCTTTCTTATGCTGAGATTGTGTTCTATTGTCTTTAGCTTGTTCCATTCTATATCTATAGAAAAAAAACTCAAAATTTGAGTCAAAGTTATTAGATTTTTCTATAGAGTGTTGAAGAAATTTTGTAATGATGTTGTGAAACTGCTCGTCTTTAGGATCAGAAGGGAATTATATAAATGAAACTGTTATTAGTTGTATTCAATGTGTGTTTATATGTGCCTTGTTCTGATTTTCATTCTCTGGATCTACAGATTGGAATAGTCAATTGTCTTCACGAACAGAGGAGACATTGTCTCTTTGATTCTTGAGTTTATTTGTGGGAGAGAAAGAGAGAGGATCTGATGTGTGTCTCAATCTCGCAAGTTTCTAGATTCAGAATCCATTCATTTGGAAGTTCTTGCTGTGAACGTATTCATGGCTGGATCAAGAACAGCTCAAGCTTGAAGCTGCTTGATGTTAGAGCTTCCTCGGTTGATGGTAAAGCCAGATGGATCAGACGGAACGTGAGTACAACTACACAAGGTAGTAGAGGTAACACTAAGAGTAGTGTGTTGGGAGGAACAGTTCCTCTAACTAGGATTATAGATGAAGAGAGTAGAACCAAGGTACAACCTTTTGGTAATCTTCAGCAACGGCTTGCGCAAGATAAAGATCTGCCTAAGCTCCTCACGGTTATTGTCTCTGATCTTGAGACAACTGGCTTGCATCGGAAGAATGAGCGGATCATTGAAATTGCAGCTCAGGATTTAGCTGGTGGTGGGTACAGCACATTTCAGACTCTGGTCAACCCGGGTGATGTTCCTATAACTAATACAGATATCCACGGAATCAGGACTGATATGGTCTCTCGACCCGAAGTTCCAAGGTATACTGATATGGTCTTTAGATAAAGTTGTATCATGTAGAGTTCTTTTTTTCCAGTTTATTTATCTTTGAATTTCTGTGATTAGTTTGTTTATATGCTTGTGTGGCTTCCATTGGATCAAACTAATGATGGTTTTGTGTTGGTAGGATGGAAGAGCTGATTCCGATATTTCTGCGTTATGTTGAGAGTCGACAGAAGCCTGGAGGTTATGTGATGTTAGTTGCACACAACGGCAAATCATTTGACTTCCGGTTTTTGATCAACGAGTTTAACCGTTGTTCTTATGAGATTCCTCATAATTGGTTGTTACTCGACTCGCTCCCACTCGGTAGAGAGCACATGAAGTCTATAGGTAACATACTAAAATCCCTCTGCTTCTATTTCACTGAGATGCAAACTAAGCCTGAGTACTCTAAACCTAAACAGAACAAACATGTTTACTTGTTTTCATGTCAGAGACTTATAAACTAGAAATGGGTTATTCTTCATCTTTTTTTGCAGACCCAACGGGTAAGCCAAAAGCATCGTTAAAAGTTCTTCAAGAACACTATAGTCTTACAAGGGAAGGTGACGCTCACAGAGCTTTGTCAGATGTGTTACTCTTATCTAAGGTGTTCCAGAAACTCACCATTGATCTCAAGCTCTCACTCTCTGATCTCGTCCTCCGCTGTCACACTGCATCCGATATCATTGCTGTCATGGCCAAGAACAAGAAGGCCTGAAACATTTTAGACATAGCTATAAGCTTCTTTTGGGATATGCATCTCTCATTCTATTGTTGATGTATCTAACTCTGCAATTGTGTAACCAATTATTTAATTTGATCCTAAAATCAATAAGCCAAAACAACAGATGTAACTTTATTTTAAAACCCAAGCCCAATTATTAGGACTAAACCGGGCCAGCCCATGGCCTTTGACCCTAATTGACATGCAGCTGATTCTTTGTTTCAAACTAGATCTGAGCAAAAAAACGATAACCAAATAACTGACCAAACCAAACCGAAAAACACCGAACCTTATCCGAACCAAGTTCTTAAAATAACCGAATGGTTAGTAAAATCTTCTATCCAAACTAATCGAAACCGAACCGAACTGAACAGATACCCAAACGGTTAAGCGAAATATCCAACAGCCTAGAAGATATTCAAAAATAATACCCAAAATTATAATTATAAACTCAAAATATTTCTTATTTTTAGACTCAAAACAATCAAATATTTTAATGAATCAACATATCCAAATGTTGTTAGTTATATTTTTCAAAGTTAAATACTCTTTTACAAAATTGAACTAAAATTTAATTTTCTTTATAATTTTTGTTCTTTTTTGTATGTTGTTCGGTTAATTTTGGTTAGTTTCGGTTATATTTGGTTAATTTCGGTAAAAAATCGAACCAGTCCGAACCCGATAAAAATTCGATTAGTTACAGTTATCTATGTTAACATCCGACCCGAACCGAACTGAAAAGAAATCAAACCGAAATTCCAAAATATCTGAATGGTTATTATATTACCATATTCGAATTAACCAAAACCGAACGCAACCGAACCAAAACCGAATGTCCATGCCTAGTTCAAACTTCAAAGATGATGTTACCAGAAAATATTTCTTTTTAAATTTACTTTCTTCAAATTAAAGTAAAAACTACAAAATCTTATATCTTTGAGTAGAAAATCTTGAGTGCAAATCCAAAGTACTAAAGTTTTGTTTCTATTGGGAAACAAAAACAGCCATAGAGGTCACGAGCTCAAGAAGCTGTTGCTTTCCATAGAGTAAACATGTGCACCAATCATAATCATTTTGTTTTTGATCACTTTAATAAATCCTGCGTACGTTAGCCTCTTCCCACTTCTCGTACCCTTAATCCTGCGCCGTTGTCTCCACTCTTACCACTCCACACACGCACATGCGGCGCGTGTAATCATCTCCGGTAAATCCGCCGCTCTCCTCCACTCTCCATCCGTCGTATCATACAGCAACACAAGGCTTTCTCTAAGCCCTCTTTCACTCCTTCCACTTCGCCGGAGCAAATCGTCAATACATCCCACCACCTGAACCACCGCCACTTTATCTTCCACTCCGACGCAGCTAAACCTCACCGTTCCATCTAACCGCACTTGTGCCGGTAACGGCGGACTTTTCAGCCTCCGCCATTCTCCAAACCCGCTGTTTCCACCGCGACGACGCGCGTCAAACCGCCAAAACGAAAGCTCCACCGCATGGCTGCTTAACACATACACATATCCAACCGCCGCACACGCCGCCACTACACATCCACCGCCAGGAACCGAACGACTCCTCAACCACTGACGCGATTCCACATCAAAAAGATCCATAGAGCTTGCATAAGCACGCGCCGCCACCGCGCGTGAAGTCTCATTCCCAATTTTCAATCCACCAATCACATAAAAAACTCCGTCAACGGCTGCTCCAATGCAACCATATCTCTTCCTCGCCGATTGAGTCACAACTTCCCACCGATTTAACTCCGGATCATACTCTTCAACCGCCGCCGCAACTTCCGAACCACCACCACCTCCAGCAACATAGATCTTACCAGAAACCACCGCGATTGCGAATTTCTTCCGAGGGAAAAGCATCGGAGATCTCAAATTAAGCGTTCCCATCCACGAATCGTATCTCAAAACAGCATTTCTACTAACAACATAAACCCTAGGACCAATCGCCGCCGCACGAGCATGAGATAAACTACCGTCAACACAAACAGACCTACTCGAAACCGCAAGAGACACTTTCCACGACGCAATCTCAGACTGAAACTGCAAATCCGCAGCGAAAAGTCCTGAATCGACGGCTGAGATAGCAAAAAGAGAATGCCGGAGCAAACCTAAACGACGGCGGAGGTGGAGAAAGTAAGGAGAGAGGAGGAGACGAGACCAACGGCGACAAACGGCGGCGAGAGAAGGAATTGAAGAAGAAGGGACTCTGGAGATACATTGGAGGAGTAAATCGTCAGGTAGAGAAGCGATTGTAGCTGAAGAAATCGCCGCCGTGGACGACGGTTGGTGGATCGGAACGAGTGATTTGGCGTCGGAGGGATTTGGTAAACAAGATTTCATGAGCCATGAGAAATGGCGAGAATTGCAGCTCTCTGACATCAGAATTATCTTCAGAGAACAAATTTAATTCTAAAATAAGGAAATAAAAATCTGTGTGTGAGTTAAGAAAGTAAAAGACTATGCACTAAAAAATTATAGTATTGCTTTATATATACGTACACATGCATGTTCAAACTACTTAGCTTTCGTTTATGGGTTATCTACTAAAGTACTAATCCTCTTTTAATTTAATTGATGAAGTAATCTTAACTACAACTATGTTTAGTTTAACTTATGTTAGGTAAGATTAAAAAGGATATGGATTTCACTTGTTTTTCTATTGTTGATAACTCATACTCAATTGCCCATAAAAACTACAAGACCTTGCTTATAAAGGATGTGGTTTTTGAAGTATTTTTTGGCTTTAGTTTTTCCAATCAAAAATCAATTGTGTACCCATTCAAATTTCTGGAAATATTTTTTTCCTCAAAGAGTAGGAAATTTGAGTGGTTAAAAAAAAAAATCGAAGAAAAACCACAGTCCATTCCATTCCATATTTCAACATAAAAACACAACTAAATAAACTACCATTCAAGTTTATAAAGAAACTAAAATCTACACCATAAAAAAAAAAACATAAATCATAAACCATTTTAAAAACCAGAAACATTCATGGCATAAAATTTTCTTTTCTTTTAACGTTATCATATTATTTTTGATACATAAATTAACACATTTTTCTTTTCTTTTATCAGTCGTTTATTGATAAATTAACACAACTCAATCAATATATACATTAAATTAAAAATATTATAAATTTTCTTTGGGTTTGAATTTGATGATAAAATAATTGGACAAAACTAATGAAAATATTTAGAGATATGTAAACTATATGAATGTAATGTTAAACATTTTAAAAAGAACACTTGACTTTAGCGTGAAGAGAATCTTGGCATTGGTGCAGAGATCTCTGAACTCCTCAGACATTGACCTCTGACTATCTATGGTCTTCTTCTACACTATGATGTTACGTACTCACAACTCTGCAAAGGATCTTAGTAATGTAAATGCAAAAGAAGTTGAAACCAAAGCCATGAAGGCAGAACATAAACTGTCTTCTTTTTTTTTCTTCTTTTCTTAATAACATCCTCTGACTGTGTGTTCACTACCGGTAGAGAAACAATCCCTAGAAGAAAACATGCGATGTTCGGGTCTAAAGAATGAAAGAATTAAGGATCGAACTTTTCTTATTGATCTAACCAAGGATGATGGTCCATGGAATTCACCTTTTCTGTGAAAGAGAAGTTGTTCTGATCACAAGAATATTTCCTTAAGGATTAAGAGTAGCAGCATGATGAAACAGAGGATGACAAGCACGGACGCACACTTCACCATCCCTCCATGTCTCTGCGTTCGCTCTGCCTGTGAATTTTTATGCGATCCACTTTATTTAGAATTGGGACAATAAAATAATTGGCCATTAATGTTGAAGAGAGTACACTATTTTACCTTCTGCAGTTGTTTGAGACCATCTTCAACAGTAGTAGCGACGTTTTCGATATTATAGTCTATCCGATCAACTATTGTACCCTGCAACAAAACAGGTAGCTGTGAGTTTTTTTTTCGAAAGGAAGAAGACTCAGAAGCTAGAGAAAGAGAATATGGGTTTAAATAAGTTTTACCTGATCTATCACAAGTGCAGAAAGATCCTTCATGATTTGAGCAAGATCGTTTACTGATTCTACAACCTGGACAATGACACAGAACAAGAAGAACAAAAAAGATTATGATTGATTAGAAAAGAAAAAAAACCATTGGTGAGCTACAAACAAACAACTAAGAACATAGACAAAGTGCAAGCACTTGCCTGTTGTATCTCTTTCTCCCTCTCTACCGATACTTCCTCGCTCTTTTTTATCTTGGACATCTGATGCTCGTTTAACTAAAAAGAATTTGAGAATAGATTTCATCAATAAAGAAGTACATAAGACGAATGATGGATATAAATCGAAAGAATGAAACAGGTATAGGAGTCAACCATATCGCCAAAGTCATCCTCTTCAGGTCTATATCTGTTTCTGCTCAGATTCATCTCTAAATCCACCCCATCCTGATAAAGGATAATACATTTCAAGTCAAAGCTTCTTGAGAGGACATGATGATGTAATGTCCCATAATTTGAAAAAACAAGTATCAAAACAATCTATCATCTATGAGATCCATGTCAACAAGTTTTATTAGGGCGCAGCACCGAAACACATACAAAAACTTCGACAAACGATAAACTGCAACATCACAAAGTTTCTGGTATCAGAATTGACCAGAACGATAATAGCTACTTTTAAAGAGCTACTAGCTTCATACCTCTTTTTGCTGTCTCAAGCGTTTCAAATATGTTGACTGTTTTTTGCGGAGCTCCATAGAAAGAAGTTGGAGGTCAGTGGCAAGAGACCGCTGTTATAAAACACATAGGATAAATCTCAGATAGCTATAGTAAACGTTGCAAAAAGAAAGGAAATGTGTTTAATAGATGTAATAAGCAGCACCCATCAAGTCAAAACTACCTGCACATTCTTCCTAACATTCGAATCTTCAGAAGGCCCAGCAGCAGAAAGCCTCTGAAGTTGCTTCTCAGACTTCTTCAATAGAAAGGTTATCTCCTGTGTCAAAGACTCAATATTATGTTGATCTTCTTTACCATCACCAAACGATGGCATTAACGCCTTGGCATGAGCCTTTCCCAACTCCGCCATTTTAGTCCTTGCTCGCTGTATGTTCACAGATATCTCCTCAGATACATCAACCCAAGCTGGTGGTAATCCCACTGTTATCGCACCTTTACTGAAACAACGAAGAAAGAAATCTCCGGTAACTACTACTAACTTTCAGCATAACATCATATTGCTTCATCTCTATTATCATTCTCATTGCGAATCCAAAAAACAATCTCACTATACAATTTACTCTAAAGAACAGTAACCCTAATTGATCAATTTCTTCAACATTTTCACTGACAAAGAAGAAGAAGAGTACCTAGAAGTTCCTGGATCTTCGGTACTAACAGGAGCGTAAGAGCGATTCGGATTCAATAACGAAGTACTCGCCATCTCGATCACTGGACCAACGCCGCCGGATCGTGTTCCCGTCAATGAAGATGACGACAATGGAGCTCTGACGCTCCTCAGAGAGTTTCTGTACTTCCTAAACAGTAACGTACGATTCCTCGTCGCCATGATCGGCCAAAAATTAAAATCCCTAGAATCTCAATTTCACATCCAAATTCGAAATCAGCTCCGATTTGAAGCTATAGATCTGAACACGATCGCGGCTTCATCATCGGCCAAGAGAATAAAGACAACACGAATTGTGGCGCCAAAATCGAAACACCGACCAAGGAGTGCTCGGAAACCGGCGAGATCAAAACTTTTCCGATGAGGTTTTTTCACTATTATTTTCCCAAAATTAAAAAACCTTTGAAACAGTAAAAAAAAAACTGTTGCGCGGCTAAGTTCTTGTGTTTCACCAAATTACCAAAACGAAACCAATAATATTTCGACACGTAAGTGTACTACTAACAGCATGACGTTTTGATATTCCAAAAGGGAAAAACACGGCGGGTAAAAGGTTTAAACGGCATGCATTCGTGCGGGCTGTTGATAGCGAGGGATTATCAATTAATTAAAAACAAATTAATACATGTAATAAAACTCATCTCCTATGTCCTCTCACTCTCTCTCTATCCAAAGAATTAAAAAAACAAAGAAAGCCATAAAAAAAAAAGACAGAGACAAATTCCAGAAAAAACGACGCAGAATCGTCGTCGTCGTCGTCTTCGTCTTTGCATTTCGCCGGAATCTTTTGATTCTTGAATCGGAATATCCTCTGTTTTTCTTTTATCCGGACTCAAGATCAATTAATTTATTGATCAGATTCTTGAATTTATTTGATTTTTATTGTTGTTGAAAAGTGGATTCTTTGGTTTCGATTTGAAATAGTTTTTGTGGAATAAAATGGATTCTGATTCTTGGAGTGATCGTCTTGCATCGGCTTCAAGGAGATATCAGCTCGATTTCTTGTCTCGATCTGGTGAGTTTGAAAAAGAAAATAATTTAGATTTGTTCTTTGCTTAATAATCTTGATTTGAGATTTGATTTAATGTATCTTGATTCTAATGCAAAAATTGTTAATTTGTTTTCTTTTAATTGATTAAGGATCGAGGGTTGAATGAAAGAGATTTGACATTTTTGTTACTGTTCTGATTTTCCGACAAAAATGGGACAAGACATGATTGTGTCTTGGTCTGAATGTTCAATGTTTGTTTTGCTGATATTGAATTGGAGGAAAATGGAAAAAATTTTTTGTCTTTGAGGCATTTTTTTTTTACTCATGTGAGGCTTTAGGGATTTGATTAAACGTGTGTTTTGTATATACGAAGATTTTGTTTTTAGGTTTTGGTATGAACTTGTCAAAAAGTTGGAATCTTGATGATTCTTGTTTGACCAACAAGAAAATACAAAACTTCTTGTTGGTAAAACGTTTTCGAAGCTTAGTTTCATCTTTGCCAAGGAAGGTTTTATGATCTACTAGTTTCTATTCGTTTATTAGATATCTTTATGTTCCTTATTAAACTCATTTGTATTGGAACTGCGAGAATGGAACGCGTTTTTAGTATTCCCATTATTTTCCTTGGCTTTGTTTTGTAGCTGTAGTGTTTCGGAATGTTCTCTTGGCGTTGTAGTTTTGCGGTGTTTGACTAGTTTCTTTATTTGTAAAAACGCAGACAATTTCTTGGGGTTTGAGGAGATAGAAGGAGAAGATGACTTCAGAGAGGAGTATGCTTGTCCGTTCTGCTCGGACTATTTTGATATCGTGTCTCTATGCTGCCACATTGACGAAGATCATCCTGCGGACGCAAAAAATGGGGTAAATATTTCCTCAATGTTATTCAGTAATCAACCTTTTTCCTCATTTTTGAATCAAAATCTATTTATTGTTTCATCACATGATTCTTGGTAGATTGGACAGAGCACTTTGTTTAGTAGTTGCTCGTCTTGGATATAAGAAAGTGAAAGTATCCTAATGAAATGCGTTGGAATAGGATTGAAATTACCACTCAGGGTTCCTTAGAGAAGAAATTAACTATAGGACACTTGTTTATTGCTACAATAGCTAGATTTTTTTCGATTCTGCGTTTATTTATATTCTGGAGATTGACATTGTTAATCTTGTAGGTGTGTCCCGTTTGTGCGGTGAAAGTGAGCTCTGATATGATTGCTCATATAACCCTACAACATGCAAATATGTTCAAGATATCCTTTTTTTTTTTCCTTCAAACCAGTTATATTTTAAAAGTATCATTTACTTATGTGATTCCTCAAAAGAGTGTGTTTTCATTCCTTAACAAAATATTACGTGACGCGAAAAAGGAAATCAAGACGAGACGGGGCTCAATCCATGCTATCGATCTTGAAGAGAGAGTTTCCTGATGGAAATTTTCAGAGTCTATTTGAAGGAACATCGCGTGCTGTATCCTCTTCTTCTGCCAGTATAGCTGCTGATCCGTTGCTGTCTTCGTTCATTTCACCAATGACTGATGACTTTTTCATTTCTGAGTCAAGTTTATGTGCAGAAACAAGTTCTGCCAAGAAAACATCGAATCAGAGTTTGCCTGAAAGGTGTGCTTCCTCATTCTCAGTTTGATTACAGATCTAGATATCCTCATTGCATTGCCCTTTTCTTTATCATTCTTGTTAGTTGAAATATCGTATTTTGGATCAAACTTTGATTTGGGATCAACGCAATCGCACAAAGTTACTGTTTATGAGGCTTCATGGAGTTTAGTTGATCCCTTGTTTTACCAATAATCTAAAGCTCTTATTATCTATTGTAGACTTAGCTGTAATGATTCTTGTCTTGATCCGGATATTACAGGAATGTTGAAAAGCTGTCTCTTTCAGCAGAGGATCACAGAGAAAAGTTGAAACAGAGCGAGTTTGTTCAAGGGATTTTGAGCTCTATGATTCTTGAAGTCGGCTTATAAAGGATAAATAATCCAGTAACTTCTCTACGATTAGATCATTCAAGGATTGGAAAATGTAACGGCTTTGTTGTGTTATCACAACAAGTGAATTGGGAAAGGGTTTGGGAATAAGCAGAATAATGTAAAAGAGAGACATGATAATGAATATTATTAACTTATGAACACATATTTGCTCTAATGAACACTCGAACTGTCTGTAGACTTTGTAGGTCTTAGAAAAACCAAAAAAATGTGTGTATTTGATCATATATTTGCACTGACTTTTCTGTTCTTACTTGGTGTTTTGTATTAAAGTTTGATGAAACTCTTTGGGTAACGAATTACATGTAGAGCTTAAAAAATAAATATTGAACTAAGAATTGTAGAGCTTTACCCCGAAGGGAGCTCTTCCAGAAATTCTCGAAGGCCCAAGACAAGCTTAGGCCTAGGAGGGGGTTTGGAAATAGTTTTCAACCAGCAATAGACGCGCCTCGGTTAAGACCTCATTAGCTGCGTCATTGCCCCAAGCGCAAAGATGAGTTTGGATAGCAGGAGAGCTTCTTTATTTATAGCAAAACAGAACCTACCAAGCTGATATATTCGTTCGATGTGGGACTCTTTTGTGTACATATAATGAAAATACTTTTCATTGTGGGATTATTGTATACGTAATGACTACATAAGTTCTCAGCTTATATTATGCCCACCAACAAAAAAGTTTATCGCCGAAAGCTTAAAAGATTGAGACTAATAATGAATGGTAGGGGCTGCGCGGACGCAAACCCCCTCTGCCACAAATAATGACGTAGGCTCTTCCTCAAGGGAAGACCTTAAGCATAGCACCCCAACGGTATGTGCAATGCGGTCACTAGCCTAGGACACTCGTCTTATTGATCGCGAGTCGACCCCGTCCAGGTAAGTAATTTGCTCGAGCTGTTCATTTCTCTATTTATAGTCTGCGTTCTCCAGTCATTACTTTGGATCTAAGCGATGTGGGACTATTTTTATTAACACATCGTGTAGTTTAAGCTCCCGCTTTCCAACAACGTGCCGGTTCTTGCAACTCCACGAGCTTTTTGCTGTTGTACTGTACACATGGGCCCTTTTCTTATTCGATTTTTTACATTCCAATTTAGATCTGTTTTTTTTTTTTGGTGTCACCAAGATGTCTGTTTTAAAGATGCAAAAAGTTTGAGTAAAAAGAACAATGTGAAATCAAAGAATCAAAAACAAAAAGAGTAAGAACACCAGACATTTCTTATTGATCAAACTTATAGTTTCCCCTTCTGCCTTTTTTGATCTCCTGAGTCCTGACCTTTACAATGAAAGTACATTTAGTAAAACTTTAAGCACATAGCAGAATATATTCTCTACTAAACTTTAAGCATATATATATAGTTAATGTATTTGCATTGAAGTCTCTACTAAATTATCACACAAAACGTTATGCCAAAAAAGAAGAAGAAGCAAAACCATATACTTCTAGAAAAAGAGTTGTATAGATTTGTGAGTTTTATATCATATGATCGATTAGTATTAAAAAAAATGGTTTTGAGAACATGAAAGAGTAGTGTGTGTTTTTAATTAGTACTAGGACGAAACCCGCGCTACGCTGCGGGATATTTTTTTGATATTTTTTTTATTTAATATATAAAACTATAAGTTGTAGTAATTAAATCATAATGTTTGAAAACATTTTTTTGAAGAAGATATTTGGCATCAAATGGCTTTATGAGGAAACACCATACATATTACATAAAGTGAATGTTTTTTACTCAAATTTCATATAGCCTTATCTGATCTCTAGAGCATCTCTTAGTCTAAACCGAAGTTTTTTTAAGCGAAATATACCCAAATCATCAAATAAAAACTGAAATTACAAGCAAAATAAAAAAATTGGTTACAATAATTTTTTTGTGAACCGAACCAAACTTTTCGAAAAAAAAACGAATCAAACCTAACTACTTAATCATTTCAACTTAAAACAATTTCCTCCAATCCGAACAAATCGAAGTTCCGGACCGAACCGACTGAAACTTCTTGATAATAAAACTTATTTTCTCGATTTTTGGGGCTGCTAAGTTAAATAGATAATGCATCTCGTTCAATGGGTTTTGTTTGTTTTCTCACATGAGAAAGTTACTTTAGAGAGCCATCTCAGCTTGTAATACAGCAAGTTCATCTTCCTCAGTGGTTGTTTGGTTATTGGGACGATTGGGTTGTACACGGACTTGAGCATTTGTTGTTGGATGAAGAATCTGCTCTTCTAGCTCAGTGCCTTCTAGTTCTTCTAATTTATCATGTTGTTACTATTAATAAAACCATTCAGAAAGCCAAATAGATTTGTGTTTTTGAAATTGAGTACATGTTCAAGGGATCTAAAGGAAAATTACTTCATCGAAATCAGCAGCATAACCAATTGGAGCTGATAATGCTTTTTGAATCTGTTCCATGTTATCAGTTTGCTCGTTGATCTCATCCATTGTCTTGTCAACATCATCAATGTTTCTGCAAAACAAATGTGTTTAAAACACACTTAGTCTAGGCAAATAAACACATATGTTGCTTTCTGCATAGCTTTTATTCCAGAGGCTCCAGACTTCAGTCTTCAAAGCGTCTACAGTTTTCGTTGTAATTTTCTGCAACACCCTCCACTTGTATTTTTCTTTTTTGATTTTTCATGAATCACTCTACTCTTGGAAAAATATTTAGATTAATGAATCATAAATCATCTCCTGATTTGTTAGACATTACTTTTGCACCACTACTTTAATCAATTTTTTCATAACTAAAACCAGATACCTATTATTAAGAATTATTTGATTAGTTGTTAACACTCTTAACATGAACAATGAATCTGATAAAACAAACAATAATTTTGAATCGAAGAGCTGCATATAAACGACTGGGTAGCAAATGACTAAACATTCTAAGAAAATAATCAAACTATCACTGAAGCTCGAAAAGTATAATAATTTTATTGAATATTAGTATATTACGATAAAACATTAGAGCTAACTTGACTAACATTAGAAGACTGCCACAGAAATTCCAATGGATCATCAAAATGAAAACATAGATAAAGACATATGATACCACACATTCCATATAGGTATTGAAAATAAATGTGATACTTTTTTTTTTCAACTCTCAAAACCTGCAAATGTTGAACAAAATAAAGTGGGCTACCACGGACAAAACATTTTTAGAGTCAACCTTGGTATTAAATTGAAAACAAAATCCAAGAAAGAAAAGTATAAATTTAGGCCTTATCTCTACAGCTTCTCTTCGTCTATCAAGCAATTTGAGGTTTCTTGTACATTCTTTTCATATCTTCTTCGATATTTATTGTTTTTTTTCCGGCTTTTGTCTACCACAAAGGTTGACAGAAGTGGAGCCTACATTGTGAGACAAGCAGCTAAGAGCGTGGTGGCTAACGGGATGGCTCGTAGGGCTCTTGTTCAGGTCTCATACGCCATTGGAGTCCCTGAGCCATTGTGTGTCTTTGTGGACACTTACAAGACTGGGTTGATGCCAGACAAAGAGATACTAAAGATTGTGAATGAGAGCTTCGATTTTGGACCAGATATGATGATTATTAACCTTGATCTAAAGAGAGGAGGAAACAGAAGGTTCTTGAAAACTGCAACCCTTGCTTCACCTGGGAAGTCGTCAAGCCACTCAAGTGGGACAAACCTCAAGCTTAAGTTTTACCTACTCTGTTTCTATCTTCATTCGGCAAACATTTTATCATATTCACTAATCACAAGTCACAACCAACAACAACAAAACTCAATCAGTAAGCAAAAACAGAATTTTGAATGAAAGATAACAGAACTTGTAAATCTTTACCTCGTGGGCAATTTCATGACAGTAATAGTATATTAATCTAAGGAGAAACTGTTATAATTTAGCTAGAACATGTCCTTAGATAACTACATTAGCTCTACATGACTTCCATGGCTAATTTCATCAGAAAGCTTCAAATTTCACACAAGTGATTTATCAAATCAGATTAACCTCAAATGAAAATCAAAACCTAAACTTAGTCTTTATTTCTTGTCAGTGGATAACTTTATTAGCTTAACCAACTTACACGGCTGATTTCAAGAGAAAGCTTCAAATTTAATACAATGATTATACCAAATCTAATCAAGAATATGCGACATCAGATGAACATCAAACCTAAACTTAGTCTTATTCCTGGATAACTTCATAAGCTTAAACGACTTCGATGGCTAATTTCAAGATAAAATTTTCAAATCCCACATAGTGATTGAACCAAATCAGAGTCATCTAGCCAAATATACTTGATCTCCGATAAAAATCAAACCTTGGAAAACTTCTTAAAATTAAAAATCAACTTCAACAGCTAATTTCCAGGTAAAAACTTTGAAATTTCACATAGTAATTAGACCAAATCAAATACATCTAGCAAGAAACACTTTGAGCTACGACGAGAACCAAGGTGGATTTGGGTGCGAGCTTAGAGTCCTTAAGCCAGTAGTGTCCAACCATCCTTTCTTCATCTGAATTCGCTATAGCTCCCTTTTCAAGACCTTCCATATCCTTAAACGCAACCTGAAATCTGGGCTCCATTTCGGCCATAAATCGTCAAATCCGACCCGACTGACATCGAGATACAACTCGAGATTAAACGTCGCTGGAAGAAGTTGAAAGCTTTCTATTTTATAAATTTTGTCCGACATCTCTGTATTAAGAAGAGAGGAGCGGCTAGAGTTTTTGTGAGGAGATTGAAAAAGTGACATGGAACAGGGAAAGATTCTTACTGGAATAGAATGCTTAGCTGTATTAATTGTTATATTTTCATTGGGTTAAAATTTTAATGATGTGTCACACTGAGAATGACTGAAAATGATGAGGTGTCAGACCTGGAGAGATCCTTATTGTTTTTATTGTATTGATGTGCATTTTGTTTTTGTAACCAAGATGTTAATTAGTCTTTTCTCGAACTTGAAACCTTGAGGGGCACTTTGTTTGGAAGGTGAGAACTTAATAGCACATTTTCTTTTAAACATTGTTTCATCCAATTGATCTTCAAAGGCCTTCTTTTTCAGCAATTTTCTTAAAGTGTAGAAACTACCAAAATTTACAATCCAAGAATATATAATCTTACTAGCATATATTAGTCTACAACAACTATAATATTTTATATATAATCGATTAGATAGATAGATACTTGGTTGCTATCACAACAATCGCTGTTATGTTACCACAACAATCTATTCAAGGCCAAAGTGTTTAGGTCGGGAGAGACAGTAGACCTTGTTTACTATTTAAAATGTTCCAATCCCAAAGATAAAGTATACACTTGAGGACCCTTTCCAAAGCCCTAACAAATCAAAAGTATTTTTCCAAGTACATCAAATCATTATCATCTTAACCTCTTTTGTCGTCTTGTGTCCAATCTTTAATAATTATGTTAAGCATTGTTATTATCTTATTTCTTATATCTTTTTTTATCAATTCAAATAGCCTTATACATACATATTATTGATCTCATACCAATCCGTTTTATTTCATAATTTGAGATTGGGGTTTGTGTGTGTATCCTCAGGTTTTGGAGTTGGTTGACAAAACCATTTAATTAGTGTAGAGTATTAAAATCGATGCTATATATATGTTTCAATTAAAATTTTTGAGATTATCATTTATAATTTTTTTTTTTTGAATGTAATGTTAAATTATATTCAAAAGAAAAATAAGAACGTTTTTACAACTTGTGCAACGGGTTTTTGAAAAAAGAAGGCTGAGAATTTTTTTTTAAAAACAATCAAGTAGAAAAAGAGATTAAACACGAGCTTTGATCCATGATTGGTAGGCTGTCTCATATCGCATATCTCCCTGTATGCGAATTGCCGAAATCTGATTCCTTACTTGCTTATCAATCCAGGCTATAAGACAATCTGCCGGTTGCGAATTCTCCCCATGTCGTCTTCTCCCATTCCGTTCTTTCCATATCGTATAGACTATGACTTGAAGAACATATCTAATAAGGAATCCATCCACTCGATCTATCATTTATAAAATTTGATGTGTGGGAGTTCAAAATCTTTGGGCTATATATTGGATATTTTACCGTATTTTATACATGAGGAATTGATCAGGATATATTAAAATTCTTTTTTTTTTGATAATTAATATATTAAAATTCTTTTACAATTCTTTTTACTTCAAATAACACTAAACTTCAGTGAAATGTTTGGATTATTAGTTGAATAACATTATAATTTAGAAGTTTTAAACTAAAGTCACTGATAAAACTTTAATATCATATGATTATAGTTGATAATCTATAATCAAATAACAATATATCATGTGTGGATTCATTTTCTATTTATATCATAACTAAGTAACACCCTTAGATATCTAAACACAAATAAACATGTCATTAGTGAAAGGGATGTTTGGTCTGTGTTTTCTACTAATTAGTAATCAGGAAGCAAATGAAATGATTTCGTCCACTTAGGAGAGTTGTAAATAACTTTATTAATTAAAATTCTTCCCCAAAAAGCTAATAACTGCCTCAACAATTAAAACTATGAACTTAAGGGTCTTAATTGTTACAAAATTAGTAATAAACGGTCCCATTCCAGAGACAATAATCCATTTATTTATTAAGATCCATTGAATTGGACCACTAAAACGTATACCATAGACACACATAATTAATACAATGCATAATATATCAAAAGAACTATCTAAGCAAAGCTATACTTTTACAGGTTGGTGTGTTCACTGTGTTTGGCAAAAAGGCTCATGTTCATTTCTTAAAGTTGGTACTTAGACTTCTGTATCTTCAATGTCAATAAAGAGACACTGATTTTTTTCTCTAAAAGATAGGATAATAATACATATGTAATGTAGATATTATTATCCCCACTAGCTAAAATCTTATAACATCATATTTATAGATGTTAGATTCCTGAAAAAAAGAATTCAATATTTTGTCGATTTATGAGGGAGATGACATGTAAGTTAAATAGTGCAAAACTAATCATTTTAGTTTTAAAAAGTTGAAAGAAGAGAAAAATGTGGAGGTTCAGAAATTGATGTGTGCTTTTTAAGAACTGAAAACTTTGTGTGTGCCTAATCCTCACTTTAGCCAGCATGTTTCTGTGCTCCCTTTTTAAGTGGGCCATTTGATTTCGGCCCAAGTATTTATTTTAATTTAATCATTAATCTAAAGTCTAAACCATTGATTTTATAATTAGCCACGTCGATCAAAATACGCGGTTATTTTTTTCATACTACCTCCGTTCTTTTATAGATGATGTTTTAGGAGAATATAACAGATTAAGAAATCATTTAATTTTTGTTTATTTCAAAATAAAAACATCATTTATTAACTAATTAATATTGCATCGAAAACTAAAAACATCATCTATTTAAGAACAAAAATATAAGCTTAAAACATCATTGATAAAAGAACGGAGGGAGTATATATATAGTTTGGATCCGAAGCTTAGGTTTGAACTTTAAAGGATAATTTGCAAAAACAACCAACAAAAAAACTATAATTAAGTAAAACAACAAAGGAAAAAAAAACTGTGATATTTTGTGTGTAATGCATAGTATATATGATTATACCCTTGTAGACATATCACTCCAAATATCTTCTTCTTCTTCTTCTTAGTTGCTCCTCCATGTCCAACTAGCACCATCCATCTCCTCGTCACTCTGGCCACCACCACTCATATTCGACTCCCTACTCCGCTGCAACTTCAACGACTACGACCGCCATCACCGCCGTTGCGGCCACCACCATCACCACTCCCTATCTCTTTTTGTTTCTCGTCCCCTGTTCTCACCGAACTCATAAGGTCTCTCTTCTCTCTTCCTCTTTCTAACATATGAGAGAACAAAAAAATCATCATCTCACAATCTCACTCACACTACTTACTTAATTTGTAACATTATGATGCTATATTCTTAAATAGTTTATCAAAAGTGGTTACTTTTGCAAATGATATATTCATATCAATTTTCAAAAACTACTGAAAATGCATGTCCTTTCTAAATCGAGTTTATTATTAAAAAAAAAATACTTGGTTCAAATATATTAATATTAGTATACCACGAATATTACGATCAATATTACTTGAGACACCAATATTGTATCTTCTGATAACTTTCATACTCCTGAGTTAATATGTAGCTACTGGTCTCTATTGCCTATCATACCTTGGATAATTTGATACTACTTTAAGTATTATGTTTAACATAGGAAAATAGTTGTAACTTTTATAGAATAAAAGAAAAAGATAAATAATTTTATTTCACTCATTAATAGAAAATAACTTATGGGATATTTTTTCTTTACAATTTGCTCTGCTGTCGTTAGTAGAATATAAGTGTCCTTATTTGTCCAGATTTTCAGCATAAATGGTATAAAATATTGAGAAATATTTTATTTTCCTAACATTTACACCTCTAAATGTATAATCAGTTTGCACCCTTATATTTTGATTAAAATTTGGGATTATTATATAATTTTTTTAACTCTTTTAAATTTTAGAGATTACTCGGTTCGTGATCTTTCGATTACTAATCTTTTTAGTTTGAAGTATTGTTTTTTTTTTTGTCATCAAGTATTGTTTTATTCATAAAAGCTAAAATTATTTAATAATTCCACAGCCAATACATTACTGTTTTGAGTTTTTTTTTTAAAGAAATAATTAATCACCTAAAATTTTCTATCTTTTTAATTTAAGAAAAGGAAACAAATCTGGGACGTTTGGAGTCAGGTTCGGAGCGTATTTCGCCTCTTTCTTCTTCTCCCCTAATAGAGAGAGAAAAACAAAAAAAGTGAGAGCCGAGAAGAAAGTGAGGGAAAATTTTCATTTCAAAACAACTTTTTTTCTTCTTCTTCTTCTTCTTCATCTTCTTCATCTTTTTCTTCTTATTCTCCTTATATAAATACCGCAATTTTTCTCTGTATCGCAGATGGCGACCACATCGGAGATCAACAATGATCTTTCGTTTTCCGTTGTATCGATTGTTGAAGATGTTCTTCAACAACATAGTAGTCGATCAAGCGACGTTGGTTTCGTTTCCCGGAAAGTTGATGAATCTTGTGAGTCTTATTGGTTTTTTTTTTCCTTAGATCTTTTTATCATTCTTCTTCAATTCTGGGTTTCAAAGAAATTGGGGGAGAACAAGTAGAATTTTGTGATTTATGTTGATGAATCTAAAGATATCTGGAGAATTCGATTTTATCTGGTGAAAATTCGATATTTTTTAGAAATTGTCAATCTTAACGATGATTTTGAGGATCATGTAGGAATTTTTCTGTTTACTGATTGGTTTTATCGAGATTTTATAGTCTCGATGTTGATGAAGTTAACACTGATATTTGTTATGTAGCTTTAAGAAGATATGAAGCTGTTGGGTGGCTTAGAGATATGGTCGGAGTTTCCAATGGTAAAGATTTTCCGGCTGAGCCTTCTGAAGAAGATTTTAGGCTTGGATTGCGAAGCGGAATCGTACTTTGCAATGTTCTTAACAAAGTTAATCCTGGATCAGTGTCAAAGGTAAAATTTCTGGGATTTATTTTTGGTGTGTAGTAGATGTAGTTTTACATAAGAAGTTAAGTATCGATTGATGTCAACCTTATGTGACTCATTAAATACAGTAAAATCTCTATAGATTAATAATGCCGGGATCGATAAATTCTATTAATTTATCGATAAATAAAGATATTTTACTAATTTTAATCATTTCTTACCAAACTTTTATCTGAAAAAAAAAATTTCTTTGTAATTAAAATCTTTCTAAAATCAATTACAAGTAGAAAAATAATTATTAAGTTTAGAAAACGACACAAATTTTTTTCGATTAAGTAAAAATATTAGAAATGAACTCTACTAGAATTAATACAAATTTTTAAAAAATAAACAATACTAGAGTCATATTTCAATAAATATTCTTACATATACATATATATATATATATTGATAAGTTTATGCAATTATCAATTTATGATATTGATTGGACCACATTCTTACATAGGATTTTCAAAAAATGTTATTATCTTAATATTTTATCGATTTATGTCATTTTTTACATTGGTCCCAATTCGGGACCGAAAGAACTTATTCATTTATAGACGTAATTAATTTAAGGAGTATTAATTTATAGAGGTTTTACTGTATTTGATTACATATATTGATCCATGTGGAGAATTAACATCTCTTTACAGGTTGTTGAAGCGCCGGACGATGTTGTAGATGGAGCTGCACTCTCAGCTTTCCAATACTTTGAAAACATCAGGAACTTTTTAGTAGCCATAGAGGAAATGGCGTTGCCATCATTTGAAGCTTCAGATATGGAGAAGGTAGAAAAACTAAAGATTTAGGAAGATAGAGAGACATGTTGGTTTTGATTTGATTGATTTGTTGAACATATTTTTTCTCAGGGAGGCAAGTCTATAAGAATAGTGAACTGCATTCTTGCCCTTAAATCTTACAGCGCGTGGAAACTGAAAGGTGAAAATGGTCCATGGAGGTATGGATCCAATATGAAAAATAACTTTGGATCAAGAAAACCATTTCTGAGAAAAAGTTCAGAACCATTTGTTAGTTCTATATCAAGAACCCACTCTACGGATATCTCATCAACTGATCCAACTCTGAGTTCTGATGTTGGGCAAGAACATAGTGAAAAAGTAAGTGTAAAATTCCGGCATAGTGGAAATGTTTGTTTCTATAGCATGGATTGTAGTTGTTGATAAAAGTGTTTACTTTACAGGGAGATTCTAGATCCATAAATGGGCTTGTTCGCTCATTCATTGCAGACAAAAAGCATGAAGATATTCCAAATGTAACAATTCTACCTTTATAGTTTTCTTGTAGTTCCCTTGCTTAATGAAAGCTTTGCATTGGTCTGCATAAGCTTTTTAAGGCCTATAATATGTATTGAAGTCTATCTATCAGCATTCGTAGGCTCAGGAATATGAATTCTTTTCCTACTTTAAATTCTCAGGTTGTAGAGTCTGTGTTGAACAAAGTTATGGAAGAAGTCCAGCAACGTTTATCAATCCACAATGAAATGGTGAGGGAAAGTGAATTTAAGTACAGTGAGTATGATTGTTTTGATTGATCTGGCTCATTGATGCAATGAAACTGTCTTTCAATTTTTTCAGATGAAATCAAGATCAAAGCCTATTCTAGAAGATGATTCATCCTGTGAGACAGTGGTCCGGTCTCAGCAGTGTGATGCAAGACAACATGAGGAATCAGAAAAAGACAGTCCGCCTCAGGTTGTAGAAAAAAGGTTTCAAAGGACACATTTTGAACATTACGAAGAACAAGAGATTCTTCTGAACCAACAAAAACACATCCAGGTAAGTTCCATTTTGTATGGCGTTGGTTGGAGGATCTAACAACCAAATTATGATAGTGGTTTCTGATTCTATCTTCCATTCTCGGTGTAGCAATCACAAAGTAAAGGGAATTTAAACATTGTTTTATTGCATACAGGAGTTAAAACAAACCTTAAATTCTACAAAAGCGGGAATGCAATTACTACAGATGAAGTATCAAGAAGATTTCTTTCACCTAGGTGCCAACTCAGATCATGTTCTTGCTTTGTTCTTGTTCAGGCTTCAGTGTTTAATCAATGAATATTTTTGGTTTGGTCACACAGGCAAGCATTTAAATGGTTTAGCTTATGCGGCTACGGGATACAAAAGGGTTCTTGAAGAAAACCGCAAACTGTACAATCTAGTGCAAGATCTAAAAGGTAACTTGACAGAAAAAATTGATTTGTGTCAGTCATATTCGAGGATCTTGAATCACTAAGATGGTCCTTTAATTTGCGTAATGACCTTATACTTGGTAATGTTTAGGAAACATACGGGTGTACTGTCGGGTTAGGCCATTCTTGCCTGGGCAATCAAGTTGTGGTTTAAGTGCCGTGGAACACATAGACGAAGGAACCATCACCATCAGAGTGCCATCAAAGTATGGGAAAGCAGGGCAAAAACCATTTATGTTCAATAAAGTCTTTGGTCCTTCTGCAACACAAGGTTAGAATGCTTTCATTTTTATGTCTCTGTAATGTTTAGTTTGTTACGCTGTGAATAACATTAGGGTATGAATCCATTGTTCTTCAGAGGAAGTGTTTTCAGACATGCAACCTTTAGTACGGTCGGTTCTTGATGGCTACAATGTCTGCATCTTCGCTTATGGCCAAACCGGATCAGGGAAAACTTTTACCATGGTAAGAACTACTACTATACTTGTCTTCCAATCTTTTTAAGATGATAAGATTCTTTTTGATTCAATATACAATGGTTTTAAATTTATCTTTATACTCTAGACAGGGCCTAAGGAACTGACTGAAGAGAGCCTAGGTGTGAACTACAGGGCACTGGCAGATCTGTTTCTTCTATCAAATCAAAGAAAAGACACAACCAGCTACGAAATCTCAGTTCAGATGCTGGAAATTTACAACGAGCAAGTCAGAGATCTACTTGCCACAGATGGCCAGACTAAAAGATATCCTTTGGGTTAATATAAGATTAACTTTGTCTTCATCATTTAAAAACTCTGAAATACTTCAGTTTTGTTTGTTTCTTAACTCTTGATTACATTAGAGATCAGAAACAACTCTCACAATGGAATTAATGTGCCGGAAGCAAGTCTAGAGCCTGTCTCATCGACGGATGACGTTATACAGCTGATGGAACTAGGACAAATGAACCGTGCAGTGAGCTCTACAGCTATGAATGACAGAAGTAGTCGATCTCACAGGTTTCTTTTTCCTTCCATTCTTCTATTCTCTCATGAGTACTCTCTTGCATACCTCGTTCTAACCCATATTCTTCATTTCTTTGGCAGTTGTGTAACTGTTCATGTTCAAGGCAGAGACCTCACATCCGGGGCTATCCTTCATGGTTCTATGCATCTGGTTGATCTTGCAGGAAGCGAGAGAGTGGACAAGTCTGAGGTGACTGGAGACAGATTGAAGGAGGCTCAGCACATCAACAAGTCCCTCTCGGCTCTTGGAGATGTCATCTCCTCGCTTTCCCAGAAGACTTCTCATGTGCCATACCGAAACAGTAAACTCACTCAGCTGCTACAAGACTCCCTCGGTGAAATTCTCGAAACCCTCTTAACTTGTTGCATTTGTGTATAGACACGCACTTGAATCTTATACAACGGATTTTCTACATTATCAGGAGGATCAGCCAAGACGCTTATGTTTGTCCACATAAGTCCAGAAGCTGACACTCTCGGAGAAACTATTAGTACTCTGAAATTTGCTGAACGAGTGGGGCGTGTTGAGTTAGGCGCTGCTCGTGTGAACAAAGATAACTCAGAGGTTAAGGAGCTTAAAGAACAGGTTCGTAAAAAGTACACCATGACCAGACTTTGGTTGTTCTGCATACTCATTTTCTGTTTTCGTTCATCCTCGCCACAAGTATATCAAATCACTAATCTGATACTGTTCTTGGGGTTTTCAGATTGCTAATCTTAAGATGGCTCTAGTGAGGAAAGGAAATGGTAATGATGTACAACCAACCGCTATACCAATCAACCGTGAGAGAATATCGAGAAGAAGATCACTCGAAACTCCTACTATTCGACCCAAATTACCTACCATGGGTAACACATCAAGCAACAGTAGGCCCCAAATCATGGATCTTAGTGGACCAGAGGTATTCTTTGCCTTCTTTTAGAAGCAACCAAAGTTGCTGATTTAAACTAACTAGAATCTATATTGGCTTTGAAACGGTTGCAGGCTTTTAGCGATAGTACTGCATCGTCAAGAAGACACAGCTTAGATATCCATGAGCTTATGAAATCTTCTTCTCCGGCTTGGCCAAGGCAGTCACTCAATGCGAAAGACGAGGACAGAGAGTTCAAGTCAGGGGAGTGGATTGATAAGCATGAAGAGTTAATTCAAAATCAGAATCCGAATTCTCCTGAGCAATTCTACCAGTCAATGGTCACTCAACAACCATCACTGTATGTTACTCACATTACATTTTATACTTAACATTTGCTTATTCTTGATCGCTACTATCTTTCAAATGACAGAAACGGTGGGAAACAAGATTTTGAAGTGCAGAGTATTACAGATAACGAATCTGATGAAGCCGCAACAAGCGATTGCTCAGATACCGATTTGTTGTGGCGATTGAGCGTTCAAGTGAATGTTCCTAAGGTTTCCAATATCCAAAACTCAACAAACCCCAAACCAAAGAAAATTCAGCCAAGAACTGCAAAACACTCAGAAACTAGGTAACAGATATATATACTCTTACAAGTATTTGCAGCTAATTTACTGATTTAACTGGTAATTTATGTTTTTTCTTGTAGCAGAAGTTTAATTCCGTCATTGATCCCAGCACCAAGCAAGAGACCTCCTAACACCGTAAATTCACAGCCGCAGCGACCAACCAGAGATGGAAAACGCAGACTGAGTTTAGGCACATGAACATGTTTTCACCAGTTTTGTAAAGAGTTTAAAAAGGAAGGAGACAAAAAAAGATTTGTTATTTGTATATTGTGAGAGAAAGCTTTCTCTGTTTTGGCCGCTCTTATTGTGCCATTTAGGTAAAATCTCAAATTTGTTGTTTTGAGTGTACAAAGAATGATTCCTTGTTATGCAATCTTCTTCTGGATTCTTAACTTATGTGTATGGATATATAATTCAATTATTTGAACATCCATATGCTTTTGATAAAGTAAAATGGCACATATAGAATCCTACCACAGGGAGTTATACGACAGCGAAGACAAAGCGGCCAAAACTTTTTAAGATGTCAACAATTGGTACCTAAGCTTGTTAGATGCTTGGTTTATGTATAAAACACACTCTTTCATGTGAAGACGCATCATAGTTTTCAAAAGATACTTTCACTCCTTCAACTCTAAACAAAAGGTTAATATCCTACAAAGTTGCCATCAAAATTGGTGTTTCCCAAACAAGCAAAAAAAAGTCTTATCTTTTTAGCATCCTATGTAAAGAGTGCATAAATAATTCCATGTCACAGTTGTGTAACTCATTATGCGAGTAAGCTATTGAATGCAATCCGAAGTCGCTCTCCCGCAATTTTCATCATATGTTTTCCTTCTACAGTCAAGCTCGTGCTTTGTGAGGACTGCAGATTTACGAGGTAAAACTCATCAGCATGTGGTTCTCCGGTTTGAAATAACGTTTAGAGAGTAGAAAATGATACCTGCAATGTGATAACGTTCTGCAGAATCAAATCGATCTCTGACTTGGATGATGATATTAACTTCCTAACTTTGACGTCGTTGTGCATCAGCAGGATCACAGAGACAATGCATTGTATCAAATTTAATGAGTCTCGACCGCTCTCCCTGTCTTGGACCGATTCCAGCGCTTTAGTGTTTTCACTGACCATCGATCGCATTCTTTTCAGAACCTGTTCTGTGAGTTTGGAGCTTCGGTCGAACAGGAAGTAGCAAGGTACTAAATAGTAGAGACATGTTTGTATGTAAAGGTAAGAGTTCTCCTTATCTTCTGGTATACACTGCAAGAAGAAGAGTGCAGAGAGTTGTGTCAGTCCCAAGATTAAAATGAAACATTTAGCACCCGAAAAAGTATTTAAAAGGCAAGGGCTCACATTGACTATATCGATCAAATATCCCGGTAAGAATTCACTTAGAGTGGTTACACTGCTTTCAGAAAGTCTTGTAGGTTTAGAGTCCAACGCACAGATCATCCTGAGTATGGCACACCCATTGTCCAACGCAGGCTTCGAAATCTGCAACCAAGAAGAACATCTCATTAAGTATTTGCCATCCTATTATATAAGAATGTTAATGTCTTCACCAACTTACTATTTGTTCGACAAAAACTCTCTCTAGAATCTGGAGGACAAGAGAGCTATCACCCACTTCGGACAAACATGAGCACACAAGGTTTGTAAGTTGTTTAAATGTGCCACAATATGTCTCCCTCTCATCACACTCAATCGCTGACTCTAGTTTCTCTGCATGAATATAAAGCCATAAGGTAAGCTAATACAAAGCATAAAAGAATGATCATCTCTCAAATAAGATCATAAACAAAAGTTTAAAAAAAAGTTCAAAAGAAACCTGGGACAACTTTGAAACGTGCAATTAAGGTGATGAAGAAGCTAAAATGATCTGTAATCTGGATACATCCAGCTTTATAAGCACTGTGAAGAATTTCCACTATCCGAAACAACACAGCTGGTTCAAGTTGTTGATCTGTAATATACGTTAAGTTGGGTCAGTTACCATTTTTTCCATTCTTGTCTTCCACAGAAGCAACTTTCAAAGTTGAATAAAAGCATCAGGAAAGAAATTTGATACTCACATAAACAGCATGAAACTATTGCTTTCAGCAAACGGGAGCTGAAATTGTCTATGATGAAGTAATAAAGGAAACAGAGAGCCACTTCTTGGACTTCCTTAGGGAGACTTGCAAAAGGTCCACCAGGCACATCACCTGTACAATTTAAAAGATGACGAAACCGAGAAGACCTATATTAGTTTAGTGACACTAAGAATCTCATAACACGTTTTCTGTTTTGCATCAAGAGTTGCACCTTCTTCCTGACAAGGGATGAAGAAGTTGCTGATCTCTTCTTCAAATGTTGTGGAAGCATTCAGACACCCAACTCGCGCAAGGTCGAGCAAAAGTTGCAAAACAACCTGTAAATAAATTAAAAAACGGTAACAGTGAGAAGTTACTGGATTGTCAAAGAATTGTATGAGTCATGTGTTAGCACCTTGGTAGATACGGGATTCTTATCACCCAACTGGTTAAGCAGTGATGGAAGTTTGTTGACCCAAGCGCGCTGGTAGTTATTTACGGTTGGATCATTGTGATAAAGTATATCTCCATTCTGCAGATATTACAAGAAACAGTTTTAGATTTCAATGCGCGCGGAAAGTTAGACTCGGGTTTAAACAGTCGGCCAGTATCTTAGACTGAACATATCATGAAGAAAATTACTTACAGGGATAATCAAATCTTTAAGAACTGAAATGCAGGCTAATTTAAGTGGAGAGTCTGGTTTGCAATCGTTGAAGGTAATAGTAAATGCCTGAAAGATATAAACGTAATATACCAACAATCACATTTACATGAAGTTACTGTTAGCTATCAAAGGAACTAAGAAAGTATATCTTCCTGACGAACCTGCATAAGATTATCTCTCTGATCACGGTCCACCCTTAAAATAAGTTTTGGAACAAAGGGCAAGAGTGAAAGTAAACTCTTACTAAGCTTATTGCTCCTGGTGATCTGCAAAATAGATGCTCGCAAGGAAATTAGCAGTTTATCAGATACAATGCAGACAGAGGGACGGACTTCGAAAAATATTCGATGGAAACTAATCAGCTTGACTTATATATATTAATGTAAAGTAATGAGAGCTAACCTTGCCTTGTAGGGCATTCTCAAGAAATTCCAGAAATCTATTCGAAAGATCAGAAGGAAGGCTGCTCCATTCACTTACTTCCAAAAAGATTTCTGTCAAAACACTGTTGAGTTCATCATTCTGTCAACAAAGAATCAACTAGTGTTAGGAAGGTCTATATAAGATAACCACTAGGAATCAACTAGTGTTAGGAAGGTCTATACCTTTTCAGGAAGATTGTTTTTGCAATTAAGGGGAAAAGAACCAAGTAACTTTTTCGATAACATTGATGCAATGTACGGATCCAGTATCATCATAGTATTTTCTTCAGATGCAGGTAGCCATGTAGCCTGTCTTTGAGAGTGCCTACGAATGGAAAACTTGATTGCATAACCTATGCTATGAAGTATATGGTGTATGCAATTAAATGATTGTTTATTGAATCCTCGCGGAGCATGAATCAATGGAATGAAATCTTGGAAACAATTGATTAAGACTCCAACAATCTCCTTCAATATCCCAGAGACATGGGCAAAACCTGTAAGAACCCGTAGAAAAATAGTCAGACTATTGTAAACTTCAGCACATGCAAAAACATTACTTATTGATGAGAAAAGAAGACAGATGGAACATACGAACACATTCTTTCGCAGCATCTTCCTCATAGGCGAGTAGCGTTTCATTCTGTAAAGATCAAAAAGGGCACAAAATGTAAAAAGAAACACTGAGAATAAGGAAAACAGAGTACATCTTATTAAAACAGGTGATCTCTGAACTAGTTTCATAAGACAGTAAAGGAAAGTTGATGTCAGATGCCATCTATCTTTGATAATATTAAAGTCTCACCAAGAGGTAGATATAGCTGCATTCTATATATTCAATCTTCTAACAAGCAAGAGACCAAAACAAACAGAACCATATACATTACTATGCTACTTCATGCCATGTGCAAAGCAAGAACTTTGGAGTCATATGAGTGAAAACGATTAGATACCTTTCTCTGTGAATCAGTATTGCTCTCATCACATGGCAACAGCGACAAGCAATGTGCCAACCCGGAAAGAACTATCTCTAGCTTGTTTTTATCTTGTATATAAAAATGGTTTTTCTGAATAACATCCTTGTAGTTTTCAAGAATCTGCATCAAGTAGATAGACATTTCAACAAACAGTCTTTGCAAGAATACTACAGGCAAAACTTGGAAATGTAACAGTCTATGTCATAATCAAAGAAATCAAAGGAGAGACCTTTTCAGCATACAAGGAAAAGGTAGGCGGGTAATACTCCAAAACAAGGTGGAAAAATTTGAAAGCCATCAAACGAACTTCAATAGATGAATTAGTCATAGAGGTAAATATGTATGGCATCAAAAGTAACACCACAAGGCCCTTGTTATCCTGAATAGATTCACACAAAGAATCGGCTGTTAGATTCATAAGCAACAGGTCTAGAAACCAATGTAAGCGGAAACAGTAAGAACAAACAAAGGAACACATACCTCTTTACAAGCACGAAAGATCTGAGTCCTAAATAGTTCATAAAAAGCTTCTCTCACTAACTCATCATCATGACTAATGAGTTTTCCAAGACACTGTATGATAGTATATTTATTTGATTGCAGCTCTGCTGGATGATGTTTAAAAAGGTCTTGGAAACCATGTAATGTATCTACACAGACAAAACCAAAACAGAACAACGTCGCTGGTTTCATATATTCCTCAGCTAAAAACATGACAACACACAAAAAAACAGTACCTTTGAGAACTTTAGCATTGTGATGTGAAGTTCGTAGCTGAAGCTCCTTCAAGGTCAAGCCTTTCTTACTTGTAGCTAAACCATCTTTTTCTGCTGCCACACTTTGCTCATGAAGTATAATTGCTGCAATATTTAAACAAAGCAATTTCTCAAGCTATTAAGAGAAGAAGACATAAAAAGTTTGGATTTGTAGGAGAAAGTATATACCTTTGGATTTAATCTCTGTGTTAGTTGCATTATTTGGTGGAGGTAATTTTCTCCCGAGCTTTCTCTTGATTTTCTGCAAATAGACAAAACAGAAATCAACAGAAGAACAATTCCATCAAACACTTGAAGAAGATTCATCGAAGAAAAGAGACAATGTTACTTAAAACCCTAAAAACCTTGAAATCAATTCCTTTCTTTTGCTGCTTCTTTGCAGGAGCCTTGGAGCGAGCCATTTGTTGAAGTTTGATCTCTTGATTGGAACCTAAATCTGGAATCGACAAGTTAAAGAAGAAGAAGATGCAGAACAATTGTTTGGCAAACTAAAATGGGTCTGTAACCTAGTTACGGACTTACGGTTGCGCCTTATTAGCTTATACTACAAGAAACTCAAATTAGGTTTTTGTAAAACTGGAAGATATAAAAATCACACAGAAAGTCAGAAACCAAACAAAAGATTAATCCTAGTAACGGAGTCGGAGACAGAGCCACAGAGGTGTGTGACCAGAAAACCGTGTTATCGGTTAAGTCGATTGATAAGACCGGTTTAGATGCTTTTAACCAAATCGACCAAAATTATTACGACCATTAATACGTCGTCGTTTTGGAACCCTTCCCTTCTTTTGTTTTGGCGCAAACTGCAAAGTAGAGTTCATTACGGATTGTTTAATGTTTTTAATTAACCTTTTTCATTATTATTAAATTGGAATCTAAAATTTACCCAGATTGACTCAAAACTTTGAAAAAATAACTAGAATGACTCTCTTTGCTAATGGATAACTAGACTAACTCATATTTTGTGTAAAAAGACTAATTAACCTTAGTCAAGGTTTCTCCACCATTTTCCTTTACAAAAAAAAAAAAAAAATTTGAGAAATCGAACTTAATTAAAAAACATAATAACAAAGAAACAAAACATAGTTTTTCCCGATTAATTAAAAGACATTCACGATTTAGGTTTCTCATAGTTTTTCCCCTTTCCACAGAGATTGACACATAATCTCTTCTTCTTCGTCGATTTTAGAGTGTAAACCCTAGAAATCCGCCGCTCCTTCTATCCGCCGCTCATTCAATCCGCCGCTTATTCAATCTGCTGCTCTTTCAATCCGCCCCTTTGTCGATTTCGTTTCGATTTGCTATTCGTCGTGGGTACCGACGAATAATCTTCTCCGGTTCCGACGAAGTCGCGTCTCCGGCCACATACACGGCGGCGAGGCTTCAGCCCTTGTTGATTGCATCACGATTTCTCTTCTCTCGTGGTGACCGTAACTCTTCAGTGTCCTCGTTGTCTCTTGTTTTCACCGGAGAAGTTTGTTCTTTCTTTCAATTTTGGTTTCATCATTCAACAGAGTAGAGGAAGCAAAACCCAGATCGGTGAGAAATTTTCTCATTCAATTTTGATTTCAATTTTGTTCCATTTTGATTAACACTTGTTTTTTTTTGCAGATCGACCACCGTCATCTGAGTACCGATACTGTTCTTCCAGTTTCCGGTAAGAGTTTACCTATTTTCGTCGGAATGTTTTTTGTAAAATTATTTCGCGCCTTTTCGAATTACATGACCACAGATTTTGTTCAAGTAGCTGCAGATTTTTTTCATGTTTTTGGCTTTATGCAAATTGCTATTTCATTAGATCCTCTATTTTGCTGAAGCTATTAATTTTATTTGTCTATGTTTAGGGATGGCATCCTCCAGTAACATCTTCAAATATCCTCCTCGCCTCTATGACGAAGGAAAATCTATTTTGCAACACCATAGCATGAACCACAACTGTTATTTGTCGAAAATTGGTCTCATTCGAGAAGGATTAGGTCAGGATGTGTGGGACAAATTGAAAGAATCATCTCTTGGTGTATTTATAAAGCTTGCTGAAGCGGAATACACATGGGCTGCAAAGAAGGTTCACTTTATCCTCACAAATCAGCTGCGAGTAAACAACTTGCATGAGATTTGGTCTTTGATTGATGGTAGACCAATCCGATTCTCTTTAAATGAGTTTGCGGCTATAACAGGCCTAAACTGTGGTGTTATTGAGCCGTCAGACATTTGCGAAGCTGATCACAGTGAGCTTTGGGAAGCAATGAAAGGCGGCTCCAAGGCAGCGGTTAAAGAAGTTGCTGCTAAGAACCCGGGTTTCAAGGCATCCAAGATTGGTGGCGCAAAGGCTGCGGTGAAAGATGAGGCGGCTAAGAAAGACGGTTCAAAGGCTACAAACAAATCTGCTACAATGGCTGGGAATAAGATGAAGATGAAGTCTATTATCCAAGAAGACGATGTCGTAGATGTTACTGACCAAGTTCAAGATGATGCTCTGAAAATGGTTTCAAGTTCTGAAGACACATTCTCGGATCCTGGACAACAACATGCTAATAAGGTACTGAATGCAACATTGACAGCAATGTTAGAGGGAGTAAAGAATCTAGATGAGGGTATGACTGTGGGGAGAAGAGTGCCACAATTGGCTGGTTCTCAAAAGTACCCGTATGTTGGTAACTCTACAGTGAAGCGCATCATTACGGATGGAGAGCCTTCTTCCTCGATACCTGATCATCTTAAACCTGTTTCTAACGAGAAAGTTCATGAACTGTTTGATTTCCTCGAGGCAGATGAAGAGTAAGACTTGACAGTTATTTAATCTTCCAATATCAAAATGTAACTTTGTCTTTCTAATGACTCTTTTCTTTTATGTTCAGGGACGATCTTCTTCAGACTAGTAATGGAGATACGAGATTCTATTGGCAAATTTTGACTCTAAGAGAACAGTGGCCACATGAAAAATATGGATGGTTGAAAGATTATGTAAGTCATCTAAGATTATGAAAATCTCTTTTCCTTTTCAGTTTAATCGTTTTAGATTTTTATTGATTCTAACTGGTTTAATTATTAATGTAGCATATGGGTGCTGCGATGGCTATGTTCCGCAAAAGGTTGATGCGTGAGCCTTCAGCGTACCCTAATCAACGAATAACTTTCTTGGACCAATACATGTTGAGGGAGTTGGCTAAAGATTACAAGCACTTTTCAGGAGGTCGTAAGTGCTTCAAGTTCAGGGATTTCTTTGCGGAACACTTCAACGGGACAGCTCCAATTGAATCAGCTACTCACAGGAAATGGTACATCGATGTTGATCATCTTTATGCTTGCCTCTTTATCAATGGGGATCATTGGGTTGCTCTTGATATTGACCTTCCTATGAAGAGGATTAACATCTACGATAGCATCCCACACTTGACCACTAAACCTGAAATGGCGAGACAATGCATGTTTTTGCGAGAAATGATCCCTGCCATGATGAGTGCTATGGTACCTGAGAAGATACGTAAGAAGAGTAATGCAAGGCTGGAAGTGAAAAGGATTAAAAAGAAAGTACCGTTGAATAAAGATCCCGGCGATTGTGCTATCTACACAATCAAATACATCGAGTGTTTGGCTCTTGGGACATCATTCGATGGGCTTTGCGATGAAAACATGAAGGCAATACGTATTAAACTTGCAGCGGAGCTATATGATGAAGTGAGAGAGACGGCCAGACCGTATGAGCTTGATATGTGTCGTGAAGAAATCAGAATCCCTCAACTCGAAGACTCTCCGTAGTTTCTTCTATTTTATTTCATGACATCTCGGATTTGTAGGTTGTTATTGTTTCTTTGTTTCTCAGACCTAATTCTACTACGTTTTAAACGTCTAAGTACCTTTGTTTCTCTTTGTTGAACGTTTAAGTACCTTATGGTTGGATGTTTTTATTTTGTTTCATGTATCGACTTTATGAAGTAGACCTTAAACACCAAAAAAACATAACAGATGGTACTTAGAAGCACACAATAAGTGAATGGCAAACAGGAAAACTATAATTTGCTGTCTAATTTTGAATGAAATACAAAGGTTGCCAAGAACATAATTGAGTTGAAACATAAAGAACCAGATCAAACCAACAGAAGAAACGTTAAGAAAACTTTATGAATTACATGTCTTACGATTATGTCCTACTTGATTGCATTTCCCACAAGTGTGTAGTTTTCTTGGCTTCTTCTTCTCCATAGCAATCTCCAATGCAGATTTAATTCTTGATTTTTTTGGCCTTCCTGGTTGTTGACGAGCTTCTGGGGGCAAACATATCTTGGTAGCCACATGATCAGGAACAGGTATAGCAAAATCCCTAGGCATGATGGCGTTTGCATAGGAATTGCACAAGTAGTTTTTGTGATAATAAGGATGACACATTGAAATTCTAGAGACTTTCCTGTTTTCACCCGCCGCAATTGCATGAGCACATGGCAATTTCTCCAGGTCAAACCTGCGACACGTACACTTTTTGTCTCTCAAATTAACAACATGGAGAGAAGATCCATGTGTAACTTGAAACTGATGTGCATCTATAGCTTGTACAGTAAGTAACTTAGCATACTCTACACGGCTCTGTAAAAATAATCAATGGGTAAATATCAATTTATGAACAATATGCATGAATAGCCTTGCAAGTGTTGAACATGTTTAGAGATTGAACCTGCAGAATTTTCTCTACTCCACGTGTCAGAGCTGTGGTCAATTTCAATGCATCATTCCTTCGCTCTGAAAACCATCTTGTCATCATGGACCTTACTTCATCTAGCAGCTGGACTATTGGAAAACTCCTCGCATGTGACATCACGTTATTCATTGATTCTGCAATGTTACTTGTAAGTAAGTTGTACCTATCACCCGGAAAATGTACACGTGTCCACAGTCGCACATCAGCTCGTTCCAGGTAATTATGAAGAGCAGGACTCAGCGCCTCAATTTGATCAAATGTGGTTTGAAAATCGACTAATCTAAAAGCATTTGCCGCCTTCTTTACCAAACCAAATGCATCCCGATCTTTAAAGCGTACCAATATGTTCTTGTACATATGGTATGTACATATTCCCCGACTCGACTTTGGATACACCTTCTTTATTGCTTTACCAATGGATTGGTGCCTATCAGAGATAATAGCAAGACTGTCGTCATCTGGTATCACGCAACTGAGCTGTTTGAAAAACCATTCCCATGATTCATCATTCTCTGTATCAACCACGGCAAAAGCTATTGGAAAAATCTGGAAATTGCCATCTTGAGCCGTTGCTGTTAGAAGTGTCCCTTTGTATTTTCCCTGTAAAAAAGTGCCATCAACGACAACAACTTTCCTCATGTAAGGAAATCCAAGCATGCTTGCACCAAACGCTAGAAACAAATACTTAAATCTTTGCGTTGCATCAACTTCAAGTCGCGTTAAGGTTCCAGGATTTGCTCTACGTATCATGTATAAGTATGTGGGTAGTTGCTCGTATCCACTCTCTGGACTCCCCCTCACCAATTCACGGGCGTGTCGTAGTGTCCGATATGCCTTCCAATACTCCATCTATCAGAAAATAAAAAATAATTGATTGTGTGCGCGAATAGTAGAAATTATCTATTCCAATGAGTCAAAAAATGTACCTTTATTTGAAACCTTTTATTCATCGCTTCGGCAACGTGCATTGGTAATACCGTGGGTCCAACTCCACCAACAAAATCCTTATACAACACACCAAGTATATCATGCGTTGCTTGTCGAGCACGTGCAGAACGGTCTGTAACTGAACATGTATGTTCCGAAACATACTTACGGACATGAAACTTTGGATAGTCGTTTGTTGGTGTAGCTCGTACCTTCCACGTACAACCTTGAACCCAGCACTTGACAACCAATATAAATGGTGTCGATTTATAAACAAAAAAATCAAATTTTTGAACCACGGTAAGTATCTTCAATCGTGTCTCCAAATGCTCTTTCGTTTCATAACATTGTCCAACAGCCAATTCCACAGCAGACATTTCTAACGTTGCATAATGATCTTCTTCTTTTTGTTCTTCAATGAAAGTACCTAGACTCCTCTTCTTCATTGGTAAATTAGGTTTTTCCTTTTCTTCTGGTGGAATCCCATACAAGCTAAAATTCTCGTCATCGGAGTCTGTTCCGTCAGAATCGTCGCAGTAATCAAATCGAATTTCTTCATCTTCCTCGTCTACCTCAACCGCGGCTGCGAGTTCCTGAGACAAATCAGTTTCTTCTTCTTCTTCCATCACGTTTTCGTTTCTTTCTCGTTTTCTCTGCAATTTGTTGGCAGTGACACCTTCATTGTCAATTTCATTGCAGTGAGTCGAGTTTTTCCTTTTCACTTCCACACATAGGCGAATTGTATTGCTCTTCAATAACCCTAGAAAAGTGTGAAACTGTCTAGAATTACTTATAAAAACTGGTGGTGTATCACCAGGTAAAGACTGCGACATCATCTTCGAAATCTCGTAGCTCAAGACAACATCGCAGACTCTGTTTTGCAGCCCATAATCCTCAAAAACCATTTGAATGCATTGATCGTAACTTGTTTCACGGTTAACTTCCATCACTCGACATCCCCTTTTGTTATCAATGACAAACGACCATATATTTTTCTCCAAAATCCATTTGCCACATACTAGGATCACCTGATTCATATCCAATCCACTCCCTCTGGTTTGAAACATTATTGATAGAACTCCAAATCGTAGAATAAAACGTGGATTGAAAGAAAAGGTAAAGAGAATTAACCGAAAATGGAAAAAAATTTAACTAATCCACTTGAATAGGAACCCTAAAAAGAGATGAACATTTTTCTGTAGAAAAGGATTGTGGCGTCGTGGTGAGAATAGAGGAGAAAGGAAACCGTAACTGATGCCACAAAACCCTAGAAAATATGGTAAGTTATGATCGTATTTAATATTTTTTTAAATTAGATTTGCAGTTAATTTAAAAAAGTCTGTCATGTTACAAGTATGTCTGCGGTGTCGCTATATTTCAGATTTTAAAAAAAACTGCCACACATGATATTTCCAACATAAATTCCGACTTCAACTAAATATTAAAAATCTGTCATAATATAATAAAAGTCTGTCATAACAAATATAAATCTGCTGTCACTAAATAGGTCATTCCAATAATTTTATTTTAATTTAAAAAATCTGCTATGAAACACCAGTTTTTTTAAAAATCTGGTATAACATAAATAAAATCTGTCATAACGTTGTTGGGACTATATGTCATTCTAGCAATTTTTATTTTTTAAAAACAAATCTGCTATAACACTGCAGATTTTATGTTGACATTTAAAAATCTGTCATAACATAAAAACAATCTGTCACCACTAAAAAGTCAAACTAGCAATTATTTTTTCTTTAACAAATCTGCTGCTTTATGACAGATTTGTTCTAAAAAATATTAGTCTGCTAACACTAGAAACAAAAATCTGCTATACACTGAAATAAAACTGTCAAAATTACGGAAGTCTGTGGCGTCAAGAGCAAATAAGTCTGTCGAAGGAAAAAAATCTGCTACAATTTTAAAATCTGTCGTAACCATATGCAAAAAAATCTGTCGGAGAAAAAAAAACTGCCGTAAAAAATCTGTCGTGGACCATTAAATCTGTCGTCGAAAATTAATCTGTCACAACGAGGCCGACAGACTTTTCATGGCAGATTTGTTTTTTGGCAAAAATATCAAACACGTTTCGAAATAATAAGAGGGTATTATTGACTTTTTTTTTTTTCCTGTCAAAGAGACAAAGGGTATTTCGGTCAGAAAAATAACTAGATTAACCCATACCTTTTATGAGTTAATCTAGTAATTAGACCTTAGTTATGGGTCAATCTAGTTTTTCTCCCGATTGGAATACTAAACAATTTTTGGTTTTTGGTGTGGGAATTTAATGTAAGATAAAGCAAAACAATGAAGTTGAAACCACTCTAATCAACGAAGAAAGATTTTTATAATAACACATTGTTGGAGTTGAGCCTTTGATCACAATTATACAACAAGAATGAATCAATGAGAAGAAGCAAAGCAAAGAGAAGAAGAAGAAGACGTGTCGGAGAAGATGTGGAAGTCGAAACTTGCACAATTGAAATTTGTCTAGGGTTCTTTTTAGGGATATAATATGCGAGAATTTCAAAGAACAACAGAAAAACTTGTAACCAAAGATGGTGTTCTTGATATTATTAATGAAAAGATTAGGTTTAGATCGTACAAAGAACTAGATCTCGAAAGAAAAAGTGTTTATTTTTGCGGTGATTGCCTTCGAATATCAGAGCTTTTGTGTAGTCTGAAGTCGCGAGCGTTTTTCTTGTGTCCTCTTTTGCGAAGTCCTTGAGTCGCATTATATAGAGATGATAAACCGCCTTCCTAACGATATATTCGGAAGATTTCCATTTTTCTTGGAGTCGGCTTAGATATCTCGGATAAGGATCATTTCCTTATTCTTCGGGGATATCAGGAAGATTTTCTGATTTGACTTGATCATTCGAGATTCTTCTTTATCATTCCGAGTATTTCGGAAATGATCCTATATTTTCGGAAATGATCCCTTTTATTCGGAGATGATCTTTTTGGAGGTGAATATTTACCAAGTTTTTGCCTCGGATGACTGAAGACTTCGCCTCGGGTGACTCTGAAGACTTCGCCTCGGGTGAGTCTGAAGACTTCGCCTCGGGTGAGTCTGAAGACTTCGCCTCGGGTGAGTCTGAAGACTTCGCCTCGGGTGAGTCTGAAGACTTCGCCTCGGGTGAGTCTGAAGACTTCGCCTAAGGTTCTTTTTAGGGATACAATATGCGAGAATCTCAAAGAACAACAGAAAAACTTGTAACCAAAGATGGTGTTCTTGATATTATT